TAAATCAAGCTCATTTGTATCATCATTATCAGTTGATCATTTCAAATGAATGAAATATCATTTCCAATCTTCTAATTGAGTAAGCAAACACCATATAATATCGATACGTTCAAATATATCGAAAGACACCGTTTATCTATTACTCAACGACGATGAGTCACTAAACAAAGAAGTCGTCATGTCCGGTATCTCAAAAAAATGTAAGCACTGACCGGAAATCCAATTAATCATTCGCCACACAATGTGTGGAACACAGAAACATAGCGTTTGTAGTCCGAGAACAAACGGTACCCACTGAAACATAACGAATACACCAGCTGAGCTCAGAATATCGCTTGTTTATATTTTACGATTGCCTGTGACAAGTTGATGAATATTTATCGGGTTAAAAATCTCAAGTAAAATATTTTGTTTCTGTCAACCAATCAGTTTCTCAGCAACACTAATTGGTTTGTTGTGGAGGAGACGACTATAAGAAATCGAGGATTGCAAACGTTTTTTGAAACATATTTTCGTATTGCATTCGGTAAAAACGCATGCGTATTATATTGGTCAAACTNTAGAAACTGGTCAAGTTATGTGACGAATTGATGGCAATAACTTCGAATGCAAGCCATTTTTAAACGAAACTAAACAGTCATTGTTCCGTTAAATTTTGTTCCTTTGCTTAATTTCTCAAGAGCGATCAGTTCGACGACGAATTGACAGCAGTGACAACTGAATGTTGATGAGGACAACTTAACGATGAAAATTTTTCATACGAATGACAATTTGGGATTGATATTTGGACGAACTTTTGCTCACAATAAACAACAGTGATGAGTGATCAATATCAGAACAAAGTTGATACGATGTGAAAAAAACTGCTCGAAGAAGCCGATAAGAAAAGAAACGCCTATTGTTTGCACCTATATTATAGGAGGCAATGTTCACATGTTTTATTTTTAGAGTAGAAGTTACTGAAAATGTTCAGAAATGCCGTCTGTCACCTGATAATATTGCAGTTCAGCGTCATCTCTCGCTTTATTCTCTTGTGGCAATGATCTGTTCTCATAGGGCACAAAGTAGGTATTCTCAATCAAGCAATAATTATTCGTGTATTCATCCCATCCACCACGAAATTGATTCGGTGTCCAACATTGCAGTGGTTTTCCGAAGAAAGTCTGCAAATTTCGACTCTCATGAAAGAATTAATCTCACCAAATATGATCAATATCATTCTCTTATCAGCAAATATTGCATTCATTACTGAAGGTGTTTATTGAGAGATTAAAAATCGAATTATTGAAAATTCAGCATCTCATTTCAAATTTTCCGTTTCAAACACAAATTCAAGATGCATCACTCCAAACAACGAATCATTTTAACACCAGTCAATTTGCTATTGCAGTAAACCAAATGATTTACAATGTACTACTGATTCATTCATTTATGCATTACATGCCTACATCCGTTTAGATTGCGTATGATACTCGAATAGCAAACTGTTGTGACGGTCGTTTTGCGTGGTACTGTTTGAAGGGATCAATATTCTTTGAATTGGATATTACTTCAACTAAGAAGTTCCAAACAAATTCAACTGCTCATTCTCATCAACCTTTGGAGTGGGTAGCAAAATTAGCTTTGCACGTGCAAAATTCTTGAACCAGCATTTACTGCTCTATTTTCTTCTTCAAAATACTTTTTCAGAATACAATTTCCTAGGGCCTTTGCTTCGCTCCAAGCAATCCCTTACGTGAAATTAATGAACTATCGATGAGGTGAATTTGCTATCTGTAGCATTTCTGGAATGCATCAGGAATTGGCGAGTTTAAAGATACAAAATAGACAAACCTGAGAGAAAATCGCCGATGTTGCAATGAAAAATATAAATGTGGTCGCTTGAAAATTTAATCGATCCACAAAATCTTCTTCAAAACGCGGCGATGAATATATTTTGATTGCTTGTATGAGATCATCCATTTTTTGTCCCTATGAGCCTGCAATTCAACCTTATTGAATATCTAATCAAACCAAAAAGGACTGAATTCAAAGAAAATTGCGTTCAAGCTATCATAATAAATATGCTGAATATCTGATTCAATCGAACTAATTATAAGTAAACGTTTTCTGTTAATGTTTATTTGTACAAAACTAAACAAACTCATATTTTTGAATACAACATAGGAAATAGATTGGTAATAAGCATTTAATATTCACTGATAAGAGTAACACTGAAGCTGTTCATATGTGACGAGCATGTTGCAGACATTCTTTCATCATTACCTTCGATGCACCGATATTTAGTTTGAAGATTGTGGGTTTATTTGAGAGGTTGAAATATCATATTGTAATGTGACACGTAAGCAGTGGAGTGGGATGTTTGCATTGATAAGAAAATAAGAAGACTGATTTGAGACTGATAAGAGGCATCCTTTCTGCTAATACTCACTTCCCAACGATAGAATCACGAGTTTAAAATACCATTCAAGAGATTTTCTCAAGAGGCAACCAAAAACGATTTTATCGCTGACGATTCATTATCAATTAAAGACATAAACAGTCGTGAACGTTGAATCAGTTCATTGCATTATTATGAAAAGCCCGATATAGATATTTAGATAAATATAGGTAGGTATGCAGATAGATTTGCGATAAGGAATACGATTATAAATTCAACGATTTTCTTGGAATCACTGATTTCCTGTCAAGAAGATGCAAACTTTTCTTGCGTACCGGTGGTTTACACATGGTCATCCTCAATTTCTTATACTGGTCTATAGATGGGTAACGGTAATCAGTTGTATGAAGTTAATCGCTAGGAATCGTCTTACAGTATAATTCATCTTGAGAAATATCTTTAGGCCTCGGAAACG